ACCCAATTAACACTAATTTAACTAACTAATTCATAAAACTAAAACTTGCCTTAACCAATTTCCTTCGCATTACTCAATTTCCCAAGCAAGGCTTTTGTCTCAAATATTTTATGGCTGTATCTAACGTCTCGTTAGACTGCCTACGTACCCTAAACAGGGATCAAGTCATTCGTAGTTCACATAGTACTTCAAGCATTCACAATAATTATATATGAAAGTAATATGCCTAATCAATTTAAAGGTGTCGATAGAACTCTCAATAATATGTACGATAAAAAGGAAAAGATGCACTCACCTGGAGTCCACGCTATGATTCTCTAGCGCACGCATCGAGGCGTCCTGAATGATTGGTCCTTGTGACCAATTATCAAATCACATCTCAGAACTCTTATCCGTAGAATATGTAATTCACATAAAACACAACCTCAACGACATTCTAAAATAGTTTGAGACCCATTGACCACAAGTCAACCGTTGATCAAAGATCGATGGTAGGGTTTACAACCCTGTATAACCTAACCCGGAAGATCCGCATATCAGATTTCCAATCCGCAACTTCCAACGATCCACAATATGTTTCTAGAATAACATATTAAAATTTCATTACGATCCAACGGTCAGATCTCCGCCAATTGCCTAAAACAAGTGGCCGTGAACATTTATTTTACTAACTTACAAATCCAATTCAGGAAGATCCGTACATCGGATTCCCGATCCATAAATTCCTATGATCTTTAAATATTACGTATTATAATGTACCCAAGTTTGGTGACGATCCAACGGTCAGATCGTCGATTTACATTTTCATCAAGCAATGTATCGTAACGAATTTAGGTTCCAACGATCAACCTATGTCATTCAAATAACAAAACTGAATTCAAGACATTCGACATAGCCTAAAAATAGCATTGGCGGCCCACTGGCCACGCGCCGCCGCAGGTGGCGGTCGGCTGCCCCGACTCGCCGGAAAATCCAACTATTTCCAAAAATTCTCAAACTTCACAGAAATGAATATCTCAGTGAGTGGAGCAACTTTCATACCTGCCACGAAGTCCAAAAGTGGACGGAAGATGGTCAATTTTTCCCACGAAGCCAGCGGGTGCCTAAAACTTCCCGATGTCGATTCGTCGTCTACGGTGGTCCAACGGGGTCAAGGTTGGTTGGGTTTTGCTCCTGGGATGATGGGCTACAAAGCCCAAGTGGTAGCATCGGCCATTGCTTTGCCGATTTGCCGAAAAATCGAAAAGGGTGGCCGGAGCACCATTGATTTTCGTCAACTTTCGTGGCCTCAAACCTCCACATCCCATGGTTAATCAAGGTGGTTCTTGGGTGGGTTTTGTAGAGGGGAATGAGAGCTTCAAGATGATGGTGGTGGCATCGAAAAACTCCACCGGAGTTGGCCGGAATCGGCCTTGGAAAATGGGTGGTCGCGAGTGGGAAAAACCACGGGAAAAGCTGGGATTTTTTTTTTCTTTTTCTTTCTTTCCTTTTTCTGATTGGGCTTCACCTTAAATAACCAATTTCTGATTGGGGATTTAATTTAATTAACACTAAACCTTGAATAACCAATTTCGAACGTCCGTAACTATACCGTTATAATCCGGACTTGCAAACGGCTTTCGCCTATGCGTTCACATCCACGAGTATTACGAGAATATTGTAAAAGAATAAGTCATACGTCTCTCTAGACGATGGTTAACAGAAGTCAAAGTCCTTGCCTCTAGGGCAATTTCGTAAATTCACGCTTTTAAAATAAAATAAAAACGTAAAATTTGGAACGGGTTGTTACAATTTTGACCGTATTAGGTAAAAAAAAATAAAAAAATTCTAAATACACTCCAAATCACTTTTAGTGTATTATTTATCTTCTCAACTATCCAAACCCTCTCATCCTCCATTGTTAAACAAAACCCTAACCAATGAAACTACAAACATGTTGGTTGAGAAAAATTGCTTTTGATGAATGGAACACACAATCGATGTTTCGAAAGCTTCACATAAGATAAGACTTCATATTTTTCATTGTTTTAGTGATTTCGACGACATCTATAATTATTTAATTTTGCATTTGTTGCATTATTTAACGTTCTATATTTATATTCATCTTTTAGGGATCACAAGGATTACATGAAGAATTAAACACCTAAATTACCACCAAATATTAAAAACAGATGAGATGGGTTTTAATGGTGGAATTGAAAAAAAAAACCCATATATGATTTAAATCCTAGGCGAAATTTTTGTCAAATTCCAGTTGGCATTTTTTAACCAAATTAAAAGCTTTATCTCTAACATTTGAGTGCCCATTGCGGATACAAAATGAAACCCCTCCCACGAGACAATATCATCATCCTGAATTGCTTATGAATAGCTGAGGAATTGGGAAGATTGCATTGCATGCAATTGTTGCATAATTATTAAGCTCCTTCATATGTCGTGTCTATTCTTTATTTCCTTGAGTTTCGGTAGTGTGTTCGTATGTCATGTCTGTCTTGGAATAAGCTCCACCGTTGTCATTTATCGATGTCGGATGGATGGATGGATAGATACTTTGTTCAGTTGTTATTTTCTCGTGTTTAATAGGGGTTTGGTTTGCTTGTACTGCTTGTCTGGGAATAGCTATTACTATAGGCTAGGCCCTGCCACTTTCAAATGATTTGAAATCTTTGGGCAAACTAAACGTTCAAATGCTTAAATTCAATCCCTAAAAATTAAAAATGGGTGCTATAAGATTTGAGAAATGTGGGGTGTATGTAGAAAATATAAAGTGTATATTAAGAATGTAGGGTGTAGGAGTATTATCGGAAAATATGCGGGTGTATTAAGATAATTTTTAAGTGAAAAAACAAATGTGAGATGTATTAAGTATGTAGAGTTTTTTCAACAATTTATGGGATGTTATTATAATAAGCCTAATTGGAAAAATAAAATAAAAAAATAGGAATAAAATGAAGCATAAGAGGAAAACATATAGAAAAGAGATGAAAACCGTAGGAGGAGAGAACGTACGTGTGATTTCCTGCTATGATACGTTTCTTGTTTTGCATAAACGAAACAAAAATCCAATCCAATTTTTCCATCGTTAAGATTTTGGGGTTTTTTGAAATGGATCGAAAGTAAATAAAAATTGGACCTATTTCAAAATGTAATCTATAAAATTGGACCTATTTCAAATTTTCCCTAAGATTTTTAACCATTCTTTTCCTTTGAATCACCCATTTGGAAATTGGAACATCCGCAGAAAATACCCACTTGCTTAAACTCTCGGGTTTTGCTTTCCGGAGGAATTTTTGGTAAGCAATTCATTTCATTGTGCTTTGTTTTTAATTTTGGTTGCAATTTTGAAAATTTAATATCTTGATTTTATTTTTACTACCCATGTTTTTGCTGCCTGAAAACTTTAATTGCAATTGTATTTTGTTTAATTTTAATATTTCTCTATTTTTTTTTTAATATGATTAGCTTTTAATGTTGGTGTGAATTGTAGATTCCTTATTTATTTTTGCATGCTTAATTCAGAGAGTTGAAGAGTTAGAAAGGTAATAAAAATGAAATGCTTTTTTAACTTTTTACTGTTATTATTTTCACAATGCCAGACTGCAGCTTCCATTTTCCTTTCTGTTTGTTTTTACATTTCATGTTTATTGTTTGTCTGGTAAAAATGATAACTCTGTTTGAGCAAATTTGAATCCTCTGTTTCAGATTCCGGTGTATTACATTCGCGGTTTTAAGCTGGAGTGGAGGTGTTGGATTCACTTTGGTTGGGATTATCCGTTTGATACAGGTTGTTGGATTTCGTTAAATTGATCTGATGGCAACTTGTGAAGCAGTTGTTCAAGTTTTTTTGCGGTGTTGTGCCCCGCCTTTGTAGTTCCAATTCATTTTTTAGCAAATGCGGTCCAGTGATTTCGTCTAAGTACCATGTAAAAGTTCAGAGTAGACACTCTGGGTATTCATGCCCCGTCTTTTGTATTTCTAAACCTGTGCCCGTGTCTCGTGTTGTTTTTAGGTTAGCAGTTTGGTGCAGCTGGCTATGTAGACGATTCGCTCTCTCTCTCAGTTTGGTTTTCTCTACCAGTTATATGTACATTTCTGTAATTTCTTCGGCACTGCACGCAGTTTTTTCGCTCTCTCTCTGAGTTTGGTTTTCTCTACCAGTTATATGTACATTTCTGCAATTTCTTCGGCACTGCACGCAGTTTTTCATGCTAGAAACCAAAACATACATCGACCGTTTTAGGTAAATTATCACTATATTAGAGAGCTAATCACTCGCTACGGCTTGATACCAAATCTCTTCCTAAGCCAGGGTTTTGTTTTCTTGAAGTACAAGTTATCAATTCGGTCCCCTCCCTTCAGCTTCAAGTTTGCTATTTTGATCAAATTGAAAAAGAAAAAGAAAATATTTAGGGGTTTTAGCTTAATCTTAAAATTAAACTTGACAAATAAGGTTAATATAAAATGTTACTAGGATTTGATGTCAGCATTTCACCAACGGTGAATTAACAAAAGAGTCATGCGAAACAACTTCTGAAATGAACTTTCTCACACTGCTGCTTTTCAAATAAGCAGAAATCATGCCCTTTATCAAACAACTTAGCAATCCAAAACTTGAAAAAAAAACATAAGTACCCCGAAATAATAAACCCCGAACGGACACCATATGTTTTCATAAGTAGAATACGTCATAAATAAAGATCGATCAAGAGAAACAATGTGTTTTTCATGTTAATTGAGACATGATTATAGTCAAAGACAACAACGTTATGATCTAATCTAGCTAATCAAACAAAAAGGTTGCCCCACCTTAATCAAAAGGGAAACAAAATCCAAACAGGAGAATCTTACATTCGTATACTACGGTTACTACCACATATTCTTCCCGCATTTATTATTTAATTCCATGAAAACTGTTAATTTCTTATTACGTATACTAATTTAAATATTAATATTAATATATTCACGCGTGAACAGCTATACCAGATAAATAACAAGCCGTAAAATCCAAAATTCCAGATATGGAAACAAAAAGCCGAAAAGAAAATCCATTAATTGGGCCCACTGTGGGCCCTCACAACACAGCAGCCAGCCATATGGCCCATTTCCAAATTTGGCCGGCCCATGACTCTTTCCACCTCGCTTCAAAAGGCTCCTCCTATTTTTACTTCCAACTCTTCATTTGGAGTTTGTCTCCACCTCCACCCTAATCACCATCACCACTTCCACGGTTCCACCACCGTCACCACAACCATGCAGCAATGTGTCGATGACCTCGTCAACGATATAGACAACCTTCACCTTGAGTATGCTTCTAACGGGGCCGCTGACATGACCATTACTGTCGAAACAAATCATAGCACAAGTTCGAATTCTGGAACCGCCATACGGACCACTTCAAGCCACATAACATCCACCACCAAACCCCACGCGCCGCCACGCGATCCATGCTGGGATGCGATCCAATTCAAGAAGTCTGATGGCAAGGGGCTCAGCCTCGATAACCTCGGCCTCCTGCGCCGCCTTGGGAGCGGCGACATAGGGAATGTGTACCTTGTGGAGTTGGAGGGTAGTGATGGGTGCATGTTTGCTGCCAAAGTGATGGACAAGGAGGAGTTGGCGTTTAGGAACAAAGGAAATAGGGCAAGGGTAGAGAGGGAAATATTGGAAATGTTGGATCACCCATTTTTGCCCACGCTCTACGCCTGGTTGGAGTCCGATAAATGGTCTTGCTTGTTGACCGAGTTTTGTCCCGGCGGCGACCTCCATGTCCTCCGCCAATGCCAACCGGACAAACGTTTCCGTGAAGCTTCCGTCCGGTGAGTACAATTTGCACTATGACATATGCAATTTAATCCTACCATCTATGCATTTGTGACGTATAGGCGTGCATATGCTTCAATTTTCTTAATTATATTTGCAAATCGGTAATTATATAATGTCACATAACAAGTGGGTCCCAGTATTGGCTTGAGACGGGTTTCATAGGCTTTATTTTATGTCTCGAGTTTGAAAGCAACTTATATGATATAGATAATTGTAAATTGAAGAAATTATGTTAACTAACTTCCGTGGTTCTCAATTCAGTTAAGTCCACTACCAAAAATTTAAATTTCAAATGAATTTTTTGAAAATCGCTCATTCCACTGCTAATTAATCTATTTTTACAAGAATGAAATGTCTCCACGAATAGTTAGTGTTTGTTGTTGCTGCTTGAGTACAGCGTTGTTGGCAACTGCTTTATGTTTTTCTGGTGGCTGCAGCTCTTTGCTGCATATTTGTACTTTTCTTTTTCCTTCAATATTTTATTTACCAAAAAAAAAAAAACTTACACGATACAACGGATAATTTGTTATCGTGGCAACACTTGATCATGACCATGATCGATATTAATTTCCGTAATTATATGCCTTAATTAGGGCAAAATTTGATTAGGTTGCTGCTTTTGGTTACCACTCCAATTAGGTGACATTTTAAAGGGTTTTTAATTGGTCGTTAATACGGAAAATCACCCATAAACGGATCAAATAATATGCAATCAATTAATTATTTTTATTTGGAAATTAATTTTTTTATTTTCTTTGTTTTCATAATTTTCCAATTTATGTCCTTTTTTGTGGTTGAAGATTCTATGCATCGGAAGTAGTTGCAGCTCTGGAGTACCTCCACATGATGGGAATAATATACCGTGATCTCAAGCCCGAAAATGTACTCATAAGATCAGACGGCCATATCATGTTAACCGACTTTGATCTCTCATTAACAACCACCGATTCAACATCAACGGCTCAGATTGTTTCTGATCGAGATCCACCAGTCACCAACCGTGCCGATGATCCCAACAAGCTAAACTTTGGCATGTCATCATGCATCCTACCAAGTTGTATGGTCTCGCCCGCACCATACACAAACCCGAAACAAAAACGCAAAAAGAAATCCGGCCACCGCAGGGCCCTCGAGATCGTGGCGGAGCCTGTCAACGTCCGATCGATGTCATTCGTCGGGACCCATGAGTACTTGTCGCCGGAGATTGTATCAGGCGAAGGGCATGGCAATGCAGTAGATTGGTGGACTTTAGGTGTGTTCATATTTGAAATGTTCTACGGTGTGACACCGTTCAAAGGAACTAACCATGACGTAACCCTAGCCAATATTCTGGCTCGAGCACTTGAGTTTCCAAAGGAGCCCACCGTGCCCGGGCCCGCCAAGGATTTAATCGCACAACTTTTGATCAAGGACCCTTCAAGGAGATTGGGGTCCACAATGGGTGCAACAGCAATCAAACACCATCCATTTTTCAATGGGGTCAATTGGGCACTACTAAGATGCAATACCCCACCCAACATTCCCCGGGCGGTTGCTTGCCGGGACTTTGCCCAGGCCGAGAAACGCAAGGACAATTCGGTAGAATATTACTAGTCAGATAATAAACTCTAGTTTGTTTCAAAGCAATTGTGATATAAAATTTCAAATATACATGTAGCTGGAATTTTATTTTGTGAATTTTAATTTGAACAATGTCAAAAATTTGTTGATTTAATACGATATATAGTTCAAAAACGAAAATGATTTCCACCACTCGATTTTTTTCAGCCACCTGTGTTCATTTTTGTCCACAACTTTTATTTATTTATTTATTCTATCCAAACGTCTGGAATATCAAGGATGTGCGGGAGAAGAATAGAGGTATCTGAAAACCACTTCTCCTAAAAAAATAAATTGGAGGACACTTGTGCATAATGCATGCATGCAAATTGATTTTTATCGAAAGCAATTTGAGGGTTCATTTCTTATTTTCAAGATTATTTTATTGACATCGTGGTCTCAAACAACTGAATTGAATCGCACTTATAAATAGTTTTGTCAAATTTTATAACGGACGTCAATATTATCCAACGTTTAAAAACCGAGTCTAATCTTGTGTATGGGCAGCCACAACGAGTTGAAACTAACCAGCCGATCAGATTACTCCATGACATGACTCTTGGTTGAAGGGTGGAGACCACTGTGTACCTCTTTGCAAAAATTTCAACGCTCGTGTTGTTTGTTGCCACTGCAATACTGGTACCACCCATTAATGGGGTGTGTGTGATCAACTTTACATCCATCCCATAGGCCATAACCAAACAAAAAAACTGCTACTGTTGCAACATTTTTGTAACAATGGCTGAGCTTTCTCTGGATTGCTACCACGGTGCATCAGCGACAGCGGTGGCGGTTCCTCATCACACAAGTCACGGCCAGGAATCAACGGCGGCAGTGAAGTTGCAAAAAGTGTACAGGAGTTATAGAACCAGGCGTAGGCTAGCAGATTCGGTTCTTGTTGCTGAACAGCTATGGTAATTAGTTTTCATGTGAACATTTTGATCTCGTTTTCTACATGTAATCTCAAGGTTATATAACATGGGAGTTTTTGGATCAATTGGAGGTGGCAAGCCATAGATTATGCAAAGCTGAATCGGAGTACAGTTTCCTTCTTCGATTATCATAAATCCGAAACTGCAGCGTCACGGTGGAGTAGGATCAGTCTCATTGCATCGAAGGCGTGTTTCCTTATCTTCCTCATGGCACATAAACTTATTACTCCTACATTAAATCTTTCTCAAGCTCGAAAGAAGAAAAATTAACGGTTCATGTTTGATTAATTCTTTGTAGCTGGGGAAAGGATTATCTAAGGATGCCAACGCACAAAAGTTAGCTTTCCAACATTGGATTGAAGCGGTAAGCTTGTAATTAGAGTAACCATTGATTTCTGGTGTGAAGAAATCATCTTGGCTGCTCATTGTCGTCATGGTTGTTGCAGATTGATCCAAGACACCGTTATGGCCATAATCTGAACTTCTACTATGATGAATGGTGTAGATGTGATGCTGGGCAACCATTTTTCTACTGGTATATACATGATTCTCTCCGTAGTATTTGGTATATTTTCCGTATCTGGTCAATAGTACCATATTCGATTCAATATCTGCAGTTTATCATGTTCAATAAATTCTTTCTAAGATAGTCGATACATCTAATCTTAGATGATTTAGAAAGAAGAGTCTCTACCTTTTATAGGTTGGACATTGGAGATGGCAAGGAAGTTGATCTCAAGGATTGCTCAAGATCAAGGCTGCAACAAGAATGTATCAAATATCTAGGACCGGTACCATACTCCCATCCATCCTACGTACATAACTTCAGCAGAATTCCTAAAAAGTTCACTCGGAAAAGCATGGTTATACATCGCTAGACATCGATCCATGATAAATATAGGCATGACTTGATAAATATAGGCATGACTAGTTCTAGAATCTGATAAAAAATGTGGTGCTAGTAGTATAAATTACATTCACAAACACAGGATTAAGATTATAAACCCTTGTTTTTGAGCTCCGCATCAAATAAAATATGCTAACATTCTCTTATGCATCTTGTGGTGATCTTTTATGCAAACAAGCAAGAGAGGGAACAATTCGAATATATCATTCATGAAGGGACATTGGTGCACGGAGGAACAGGACATCTTCTTGATACAAATCTAGGAATGCAAGATTCTAAATGGATTTTCGTCATGAGCACCTCTAGGAAACTTTATGCTGGTTTGGTAAGATCTGATATGGACATCAACTGTGTTTAGGTTCAGTGTTTGCGACTCCTATTTGCAGAAGACTGATGGTTTTTTTGTTCGTCGTTCAAGAAGAAGAAGGGATCATTTCATCATTCCAGCTTCCTTGCGGGAGCGGCTACCTTGGCTGCTGGAAGACTTGCAGTAAAAGATGGAAAGCTCAAGGTACATATAGTAATGCATCAATCAGAAAATCTGGTACTCTAAACTCTTAATATCAGTCTGTATTCCATCTCTCGGGATAACTCGTCCTCTTAGATATTTAATTTATTATGCTTCTAGCTCCTAATTCCCCTTGTCGTAATTGGAAATCCTTACCCTTTTTACATCTGAATGCTATATGTCCTTTTGACTTTCAGTCCGTGTCAGCATATAGCGGACATTATCGTCCAAGCAACGAAAACCTTGGCAACTTCCTCGCCTTCCTTGAGGAAAATGGAGTCACACTTGATGAAGTCCAGGTAGAATGCATGCTGTTCATATTTTTTTAAATCCATCAACGATCAATAAGCTGTATAATGTATTACACATTTGTGCATGCTTCTAGTCTGGTTTCCTCTGAGCTTTCCCCATCTTATTCAGGTACTTTCTCCAATGGAAGGCAACGAGAGCTACGATTTGAGCAAATTGAACCAAGCAGGAAGAACAATTGGACAAACAAAAGATGAACAGCCTGAACTTCATGCTTCCAGAGTCGAAGAACTAAATCAACAGTCTGAATCCTGTACATTTTACACATACAAAAAGAACGTTCACTTACCAAAGAACTGTAACTAGGAATCTCCGCAACCTCCAAATAATTGTGCCGACGAAAGAAATATTGCAGAGGATCAAGCCCAAGAAGGAAGCAAGTTCATGCCAATTACGGGACCAATTATGTTCAGAATGGTCAACAGGAGTAGGCCAGGATCTGTTGCAGAAACCCTCTGAAGTTACAGTCACAAACACTGGAATTTGCAAACCTCTTGCCTAAGGTTCCCATCATGGCATCGAGCTCTGAACCTCCATCGGGGATCACAGCCTTTACATCGTGCAGGGTAATGTGACCGGGATTGTAAGCCCGTCTCTTTTTTATGCAAGTGATATTGGAGAAGGAAGGAATTGAATGCAGAACCTCGAGTGCATTTGTGAATGCTGTGAAGTGCTTGAGCAACAAGAAACTGGTATTGTAAGCCTCTCTCTCATAAGGGATGTGACTGCAAGTCACCGCAGTCAAGGTAAACAGTACTTAACAGGATTGAACAACCAAGTTTTTTCTTTAGGTAAAACACTCGCGACGGAGGGGTAATTAATCTCAGAATGTTACAAATCAGGGAAAACTATCTCAGAGAACATTAAACACCGAAGCAGTAAAAGAAATTAAAAGAAGGCTTCAAACAGCACACCGTCTCCCATTTATTTATATAGGAAATCATACAACAAGTTCAAATTGTACATACGAACAAGTAAAAGTTTAACAAGGACTTCATAGTCTTTCATGTCGGTGTTTACTGACGAAACACACATTAAACAAACTACGCCCACATTAAATAGGCAAAACACTAAGCTAAGCAGCCACCACAGCTTCTGCAGGCTTAGCTTCCGGTTCTGCTGGTGCTTCTGCTTCCCAATAAGCAGTCTTCTTGCCAGTTTTGGAAACAGTTTGCAGCACTGTCTCGGGTGGTAAATTGCTTTTCACTGTCACTTTCTGAGCATCGAAATCAATGTCATATGATTCTACACCTGAGGATGAGAAGAAAGAACATCTCCCATCATTATCAAGATAAACAAAATCCACACAATTATGGACTCTAAATTTTGTTAAAAGTTAGAACAATGATTAATCGCATAATCCCTGTTCAAACATACCTACTCCCAAACAACCTCTCTATTTGATTTTTAAATGGATTAACATGTGGGAATCGGGATAATATGCAATGCACTAGACCACCTAGGGGAACAGGGCGATTTCATGGCCTCTAAACCCAAGGTGAAGTATACACCATCTCTAAGATATAAGAGAACCACTACCTATTTCTTCCTTTTTCTTTTGAAGGCCACCAAAGTGATAATCAGTGCACAGAGCTTCAGTGTCAACGTATACGACAAAAATATATCGGACTTTCACAAGATCGAACCATCGCAACACTTAAATCCACATTCGTGGATATATTCACATGATTACATAGTTTGCCTATTGTTGTAACTTATAGCCTCAATTGAAATAGAATAGGTATTATATTAAAGAAGATTCAAATGATTTTCTCATACTAGATCAAAAAGACTTAAGCACGGCACTGAAGAGTAGGAAGATCAACACAATTGAAGCGGACAAACACGAGCTATAAACAAACCATCAAGTTTGCCAAGAACCCGTTTGACGGCCCCAACACAGCCTTGACAAGACATACCAACCTTGAGGACCGTAGTCTGCACCGAAAAACAATCAAACTATGAATTAAATACTGAAAAGAAACAAAGAACCAACATATACCGAAATTCACAGAACCAAACCTATGCTAACATATCGCCATTCTAACGATGATTTCAAACTCCCCATCAATTTTCAAGATATTCTCTTCACCTCAAGACATAATCAGTTTCTTTTGATTCTCTCAATTTTTATGCAATTCATTCCTATAAAAGCAAGAGACTTTTCAATCAAATAAATAAATATATATATATATATTTTTCTTCAATTGCTTTTGATCAGAATAAATTCCTAGCTCAGCGGCTAAAAGCAAAAATGAATAACTTGAAAAATATATATTTTAAGCTGGATAACAAGCTTAAACAACTAAATTTCCGAAAAAAAAAAGCAAGTAAAAGCATAATTTGCTACATAAACTGAGAATATTATTGTAAAACAAAATACAGGGACAGAGAAAAATTTCAAATCAGACCCAACACTGGTTCAACAAATTTATGTACTATCACACCCAAATTTGACTTACAAGTCCTTAACTTTACATCCAGCACCAAAAACCCCAATCCAATCCAATCTATTAAATTTCAATAAAATCCCAGATATAAAATTGAATTGAAAGCAAAGGAGAAGAGGAGCAGAGGTACATACCTGAGACGCCATGTTAGTGCTTGGGATTTCAAGAAAGCTGAGGAAGAATTGAGAAATTTTGTTATGGATTGGATGCTGGTGTGCAACTGGCGAAACCCAAATGGTATTTTTATAGTAAAATATAAATAAAAGCAAAAAAGGAGATGAGGAAAAGGTTGACTCGGATTTTTGTTTTTATTTTCACTCAGCGACGAAACGTAAAAGCGATAGCACGTTTATCATTCTTATCTTGCTTTTCAGTTACTTTAATATCCCTCCAAAAGAAAGATAATGAAAGTGATTTAAAAATTTTGATTTTTAATGATAAGGATAAAATAAAGAGTAAAATGAATAGTACTATGATTGACTTTTTAGTGTAAAAATGTATTTTTTCGTTAAACTGAACAGTACCGGAAATTTTTCGTTAAAATTTTCTAAAAGAAAAGAAAAGAAAAGAAAATTACTTCTATATTCCTCTTTCTTTCCTATTTCTTGGCTATATATTTCTTTATTTTATATTTCTTGGCTTTTAAATGAACATAGCAAAATCACTTAGTGTTATGATCGTACAAACTTGTAAGTGAGAGATATTAGACTTGAATATCATTAAAGGTGAAATTGAACTAGTTTATTATGGCTAGTCTGTTGTGAGATGATGGTCAAGGGTTGAGGACGAATTGTACGATGTTAGATTCTTGATATTGATGAATCGCATGATGTTGGCCAGGGAAGATTGAATTGCCTTTGCAAGTTTTTTCTGGCTCTTGAAATGATAAACTACTATGACGAAGTCATAAGTTGACCCCCTTTTTAAAAAAGAAAAAATAAATTATGGGATAAGTCCACTCCTCTATGTGAAGTTTACGAGATTAGTGAACCTTCAACAGAATTTGAACTAAAGGATTTAGTGAACCTATTCAGTAGGTTTAGCGTTCTTAGAACATAGCCATTTTTTTATCCAAAATAAAATTGACATGAAATGCAATACAACGAAATCAGACAAAACCTTGGAAACAAATAACAAGATAAATTCAAACCTCTTGTTAATCTTTGTAATTATGGTGTGGGATTCTCTTTTTTCCTTCGTTTGAGTTGAAAGTTCTGACAAAATTTTATTGAAGCTCAAAAAAAGCACCTTATCTTCTTTGTATGAATTATGCTATATCATCAATAAATATCGTACTTCTCTTAAAAAAGTTCAAATTAACTAGAAGATAAAAATTGCATCCCAACGTTAATTTAGAGAAATCCAACCTCAACCGATGAGTCACCCCATATTAATCTCAGAGCACACAGGCAACAGACCTAAACTGATAACAAAAAAAAGCTTGGATTAATCATAAAGGTTGATCACATTTCCGGTTTAAATCTATCTCAAAAGAGTAGAAATCGGAGTTATTCATTTCAAATTCCCTTTTTGGTGGCGAGTAATACGAAAGCATCCATATGGGAAGAGTGATTCATGAGGCAGGATGGAAGGAGGAGGTCTGAAAACAAGACGCAATGTACTAATTATTAAGACATTTAACCACTTGCAAATGAATTTTATATAATAAATAAAAGTAATACTACGGTATCTTAACCACTTGCAAATGGATGCTTTGGGGTTTCCTCCTGAATTTTGTCATCGTATTGCAAAATGTGTTACTACGGTATCTTACAATGTGCTAATTAATGGAGCATCTACTAGATATATTCAACCCCAAAGAGGGTTAAGGCAAGGGGACCCTATGTCCCTGTTCTTGTTTTTGATGTGTGCGGAGGGGTTTTCTGCATTATTATTGAGGAGGGAGGAACGGGGGTCTTTACATGGGATCCGCGTAGTACCAGCTGCGGTGCCTTTATCTCATCTATTCTTTGCAGACGATGCGGTTATTGTTTGTAAGGCCAAGGAGGAAGAGGTTCAGGAGGTTATGGAGGTTTTGTAGTGTTATGCAGAAGCATCTGTACAGATTCTTAATAGGGAGAAAAACTCCTTGTATTTTGGGGTAAAGTGCTCGCGGCTACAACGACGGAATTTGGCTACATGTACTAACATTCAGGGTCGTGATGAAATTGGTAAGTACTTGGGGATCACTGCAGATTTTGGAGCGTCTAAGAAGGCGGTTTTTGAGGGTGTTCGAGAGGCCTTGGAGGGGAGGATAAATGGATGGGCGGAGCAGTTTTTATCCCCGGCTGGGAAAGAAGTTCTTATTAAAGCAGTGGCTATGGCGTTGCCAAACTATGCCATGTCGTGTTTTAAGCTTCCGGTGGGATTATATAAGGAGTTGGAATTAGCTATAGCCAACTTTTGGTGGAGAGGAAATAAGGATAAAGGCAGCATGCATTGGGTTTCCTAGCAGAAAATGAAGCGAAGCAAGAAGACTGGAGGACTAGGGTTTCGGGATTTATTAGCTTTCAACCTTGCTTATTTAGCAAAGATTGGGTTGCGTCTTTTGGTTCAACCTGGTAGTTATTGGGACAAATTCTTAAAGCTAAATATTTTCTGGATCAACCGTTTTTGGAGGCAAAGTGTAACATCCCACATCGTCCAGGATGGGTGACCCATTGGAAAGTTCTCATCTGAATTTCCAGAAACAAAACCGTGAGGGTGTGGTAGGGGCCCAAAGTGGACAATATCGTGCTACGGTGGAGTCGAGCCAGGGATGTGGTGGGGGGCCCCTAAGGGAGGGTGGCCCGGGATGTGGTGGGGGCCCCCTAAGGGAGGGTGGATTGTAACATCTCACATTGCCCAGGGGAGTGGATTCTGCAACCATTATATGTATATTCCCATCTTTACCTAACACGAGGTCTTTTGGGAGCTCACTATCTTCGGGTTCAATCGGAACTTCGAAGTTTAGCGAGTTCGCTCGAGAGCAATTCCAGGATGGGTGACCCACTGGAAAGTTCTCGTGTAAGTTCTCAAAAACAAAACCGTGAGGGTGTGGTAGGGGCCTAAACGGACAATATTGTGCTACGATGGAGTCGAGCCCTGGATGTGGTGGGGTCCGGGTCAGGATGTGACACAAAGAGAGGGAGCTAGTCTTGGAAAGGGATTTTACAGGGCCAGAGGGTTTTGGAATGAGGATTAAGGTGGCTGAGTGTGGGATGGGCGGTGTATACGTATTAAGCAGGATCATTGGCTTCCATGACCTCATACTTTCAGAGTAAGATCAACACACAGTGAGATGCCGATGATGGTGGGGGATTTGATTGATTCAGATTCGGGGAATTGGAAGTTTTATTTAGTGCAGACATGCTTTGATGAGGAGGAAAGTAACATAATACTGGGACTGCCTGTTAGTGTGGCAGGGCGCATGGACAGAATAATTTGGCATTATTCAACTAATGGTGCTTATACTGTTCGGGTATAGATTGGGTATGGAGATGCAAGCCAATGGGGAGTTTGGGAGAAAGGGTACACTTCCGGCTAATAGGGGTGTAGTAGTAGGGATGTAGTAGTAGTAGGGATGGTGTTCTTGTTAATCCTATGGATATGGTTCATGTGGTCCAAAAGCAAATCTTGGAGTTTCGAGCAGAACAATGTGTGGAGAGGGGTGTATCTGATGAGATTGAGTAGGGGCAGGGGGAAACCTTTACGGGGCAGTTGTTTAGGTGGAGAAGGCCGTTGTTTGGGGTGATCAAAATTAATTGCGATGGGGCTTGGAGTGGGAAGATTGGTAAAAGCGGTTATGGGAGGAGTGGGAGGGCTGTTGTTTACCACGACAGCATTGGCTGAGGTTGCTGCCTTGCGTGTTGCAGTTCAGGTCTGCATTGAGTTAGGCTGCCAGAATGTGGAGGTTGACTCCATGATGCTTATTCGAATGATTAATAAGGAATATGCAATTGATGCTACTTTGGAATGCTTTTTGCATGATATTGGCTTGTTGGTATCTCAATTCGGAAGGGTGAGGTTTATGTTTGTAAAGCGGGATGGGAATGCCGTTGCTCATGCTATAGCCACATATGTTGCCTCACGTAGAAGTGTTTTCCGTTGGGGTGGTTTGGGCCTGGAGTTTTTATTTAATATTTTAACGAAAGATGTAAACGTTTCCGTTCATCTTTAATAAAGTTTACCCTTTGACCAAAAAAAAAAAGTAATATATGTCATTCCGCAATTCAATTACATTATGCGGAATTAAAGATTTTAGAGAAAGTACAAAGTGGTTGAACCAACTGAACAACATCAACCACTACAGTTAGTAGTTGGGGCGAATTTCAAGTCCGTATCTCACACAATACGTCTTGTGTTCAATTTTTAGCGTTGGTAAATTGCACAATGGTAGCCAAGGAAAATTGAGATGCATTTATGAATCTTCTTGACCTTAAAAAAGATGGATTGCCATGACAATATTAATAGTTGATTCTTTAAATAAAAAAAAAAAAAAATTCCAACTGAACAACTTCTCTAGGAAAGTAGCGAGTGGTTTTAGGTTTAGACATGTCAACTAATTTGACGCCACAAACACTAAATGCTTGTATGGATAATGGATGTGGCAATCGTACATCAAGAAGTTGCAGTACACACAGTACACAGCATCCTAACGAGCTTTCCACAACATTGTGCTAGCTTATCCCTTTGAGTTTGAAGTTTGAACCCTACAGAAATCATTTTCTTTTTGGTCCAATAAAATTTGTTGTATTTTTTTTTTCAAACACAATGATATATTTACATTAAGGAATTGACGGATTTTAGTTAAACCATGTAACAAGCTCTCATTCGACAAAAATCTAACCTAAGACCCCTCGTTTATAATTACAAATAAAAAGAAATACTATTAGACCATAATACTAAATGATAAGTTGACAATTAGCGCATCACATGCATAATACATAAATTGGTCTAGCAATGTGATTTCAATACATTGGACGTTGACATTAATGGGTTGGGCGATGCTGTCCACTCACATATTTTTTTACTTCTCACACACCTTTTGTAATTTATGTTCTTTGAGCTACTATAATTCATTTGATCTGACAATCAGAAAATAAAAAGAATATATGAGAAGTAAAACGGGCTATGTGGATAACACATCCTTAGTAGGTTATTTTATGCATGTGAATTGTATTTTATTTATTTATTTTTTTTTCGCAACAATCAACAAACATGCATGTACCACCTCAGCCATTCACGTTGCAGTATTAATCACCAATACAATTGTATTTTTTTGGCTTTGATAATGCATGGTTGTTGACA